GGTCTCTGTGAGTTCCCTCTGTGTGTGTGTGTGTGTGTGTGTGTCCGGACACTGGTGGTCCTCCTGGTGGCCGGGGTCTCTGAGAGTTCCCTGTGTGTGTGTGTGTGTGTGTGTGTCCGGTCACTGGAGGAGCAAAGGGCGCGAGGGGTAGACGAAGTAATTGAAGACGTGTCTGTGAGAAGGCAATGAATGTTGTTTAAGATTCGCTACTTGGAACAAAAAGTTCCAAGCAGCACGGGCTATGGTGAGCCCGTAGTGAACTTAAGGCAATGAAGAATAGGAGGAAGAAAAGGAGAAATTGAATTGAAATTGAAATTGAAATAAGTTTATTGAGGTAAAATACACACAAAGGGATGAGGTAGCTCAAGCTATTCTCACCCCATTCAGTACAACGTGTTAATATATACATAGACACACATCACAAACAATAAACATATTACCAAACATTCTGAGAGGTAAACATATACATTTCCTCCTTCACAAGTAGTATGGTATCAGACGTACACACAAATACTTTTATGACCTAGGTATACTGTATAGACAAGAAAAGGAGAAACATTAGCAGGTAGTGGTGGGGTCTGAGTCCGGGTGAAGCATATCATGTAGCAGGTAGATGACATTACTGTCTGTCTCTTCTGACTCCCTGTCTATCTCACACACACACACACACACACACACACACACACACACACACACAGGGAAAGATGCAAAGAACTCATACTAATTGCTTTAGTCATTGCCAAAACGTCAATATGTTCGAGTTATTTATTCCTTGTCTGTTTTACACATTGCCTTGTTAATTGCCTGTTAATTTGTCAAATTATCGTCATTAACATAACTATTTGTATTATAATTATTACTGATATTGTTGTTGTACTTATTATTAATTGCATAAATGCAATATTCATATTTATTCTCTAAAAACAAATTACTTCCCCAGCTAGAACTTCGCTTCTGAGAGATTAAAGATAAATAAAATATTTTTGTATCCTATATTTGAATACATTATGATTGTTTTGGGGGTGCAAGGAGAGTAGTAGTTCACTATATGATTGTCTTTATATATATTATTTTGGAACAAGTGTACCGTTTTGTGGGTGTTTTGTATATGAGAAATGTGCACAGCAGAGCAGAACTCTCCACGTTCCTGCAATCAATGAAAGTTTTTGTGCCAAATATTATAGCGAATTAGACGGGACATGATCCAGCCTTCAACGTGTTTACATATCTGTATAGAAGTTAAGTCTGTATACCTTTGTCTCATGTCTCCTATTCCCTTTCTAACGTCCCTATTCTCCCCCCGATCCTTCCCCCTCTCTCTCTCTCTCCCTATTCCTCCCCCCCCCCTCCAATATACGAAGGAGACCCATCTCCACTCCCCTCATAAAGACAGCTGCTGTTGGCTGGTCTGTCAGTTATCGTATACACCAGAGAGAGAGTATAATCACTCCTCGTCCTAGTGCTGTATATATGTTCTGCTTATCTTAGAGCTCAATAAATAAAACAAGGTTGTCTATGATCCTCGTCTTTATTGCCCTTCGTGATCGCTGTGTTGTCCTGTTGCAACAGCAATTGAAATAACATTGATAATAATATGTCATTAATGGTAATATTACTAATAGGATAATCAGAATATTACTGATATTTATTACTGATAAGATAAATAATCAGAGTATTACTGATATTTATTACTGATAAGATAAATAATCAGAATATTACTGATAAGATAATCAGAATATTACTGATAAGATAATCAGAATATTACTAATAAGATAATCAGAATATTACTGATAAGATAAATAATCAGAATATTACTGATATAAATTATGGTAATTATAAGAATAAGAGTAATAACAATACTGATAATGATGATTAAATACGTGATGATAATAACAGAGAAGGAAAGACTTACAGTCAAAATAGTAATTACTTAATAATCTACATATATATTTCAGTTAAGAATTTTTCATAAAGCAACACTGTTCCTCTACGCCCCTAGAGGAACAGGACAAGGGGTGCTTAACCTCTTTTTACCATTAGTGACCCCCAATGGATTGGCCATTATATCCCCATTATCTCCCCCCTCGCGTCCGCCAGACTATCGAAATCCTCGCTATTTAAGAGAGTGAGATAATCAAAGCTTCGTGTCTAAGTCATTCTAGATGCGAAGTAGCACTCTCAAACTATCTATAGGTGGCCACAACATTCTGCTGAAGCCGTTGTTATAAAAGTCCTTTTTTCCACTCTGTTGAGGACTCACAGTGGGAAGAAGGCCCTCCTCCCGTCAGAGTCTGCGGCCTTGATGCCCGCACAGTCTCCCAGACGGCTCCATCTGCACCTGATGACCTGGTTGGAGGACCCTACCAGCATGTCCAGGTCCCTGAGTGGGGCTACTTGATCACAGTTTGAACAGTCCCAGCAAGAACACACAAAACAATACAGTTGTGAGAGCTGAATTGCCTAGTTCTAGCTCTTGTAACAGCTGTGGGTGCTGCTCATGCGTCGTGGGATTTACCTCGAGTGGTCACTATATATCTATCAGTCACTCATCATGATTATCAGTCCGTCTACTATAGTGGCTCTGTGGTTTTGCTATCCCAACTACACTCAATGCAAATGTATGTATGGTAGAACAAAAGGTAACTGATACACCGTGCACTATCTGAATATCTGAATCAGTCCTCTCTCTCTCTCTCTCTCTCTCTCTCTCTCTCTCTCTCTCTCTCTCTCTCCCTCCAGTACGTGTCTGTAAGGCTTTGTATGCTATGAATGTATTACCACATATATCGCTATCAATCTCCATTACTCTTTAATAGTCTTTTTCTCTCTCAATTGTTTCTTTCCTCTTTATTCTTATTCTCCAAATATCTTATTCTCCTTTATCATCTCTGCTTTTCCCCCCGTCAATCCTTTTCCCTCGTTTCCCCCTCCCATCACTCCCCTTCCTGTCCAGACAAGACTGAGATCTCTCCTGGTTACGGAGCCGCTCCATCCCTCGTTTGGACAGGCGTACGAAAAAACAATACAATAGCGATGCTATCTTAAACAGGCTCCTGAGGGGAGAGAGGGGGAGGGGGGCAAAATGGAAGCGTCACCCCCCCCCCTCTCTCTCTCTCTCCTAATATTCCTTATTCTCTCTTCCTTATTCTCTCTTCCTTATTCCCACTATCCAATTCCCCCTTTCTTCATTTTCCTTCACGTTTACCATTCCATTCAGGTTCCAACCTTTCCTAATTCTGCGTCACATTTCCTTTTCCCTTTCGTCCCGTTTTTCACTCCCCTCTCTCTCTCTCTCTCTCTCTCTCTCTCTCTCTCTCCCTATGCTTCCTTACTCTCCCGTCTCCCCTTCTTATTCTCCCCTCTCTTACTGCCTCTCAAAGTTTATGTTCGTAATTTCCCAACTGGATGTTATTGGTGGCGTTTATGCTTATGTTATTATGCCGAGGAGTGGAGAGACAGGGAGAGGAGCAGGAGGAGAGGGGATGGGAGAGAGGGTGAGAGAGGGGAGGGAGAGAGGGTGGGTAAGGGCTGAGGAGGGGAGGGTAAGGGGGAACATTACAGGGATGGTGCTGGCTGAGTGAGGGGGGGTCAGAGGGGAGGGAGGAGATGTGAGGGTTAGGAGAAGATGGGTGAGTCGAAGGTTGAATGAACGACAGATGGATGACGGGTGAACGACAGATGGATGACGGGTGAACGACAGATGGATGACAGGGGGTTCTCCCAGACTCTATACACAAACAGCTCAGATGAAGCCCTCGGCGGAGTCCGGACAGTAAAAAAATGGACTTACTGCTGACGCCAGCGTGTAGTGAAGATGGTCCCGGTAATGACGGTCGCGAGTAGTGTAGATGCTTTAAGGTGATTAATTAAGATCACAAGCAATCTTAAAAGTGGTGGCTTCCGACACCCCCGAGCAATACCGGGTACCCAATATAGTTGAGGATAAGATAATTATGAGAAACAAATGGCTTGGGGCTAATACTCTCTCCCTCTCCCTCTCCCTCTCTCTCTCCCTCCCTCTCTCCCTCTCCCTCTCTCCCTCCCTCTCTCCCACCCCATCACCCAGAAAACGGAAGGGGAAAAAAACAAAAGCCACACAGGAAAAAAAACAAGAACGACTGGACACAAGACGACAAAATGGAGACTAAAAATGAAGGCTCTTCGTCTTGACCAGACTGAATCGTTCGAACTGGCGGGCCCCGAACGCTCCCTGTACGGATCGCTCGTGTGTCCCCCCCCCTTTGCCTGCGTTCCGAACACCGACACGAAGCCTTCTGGAACGCGGGCCGGTGATTGGCGGAGAGGAAGCGGTCGTTTGGATGCCCCATTGGCTGGGCGATTGAAGATGGTATCAAATAAAGAGAGTTTTTGATTTTTGTTTCGCTATCCATCACCATCATCGGTGTGTGTGTGTGTGTGTGTGTGTGTGTGTGTGTGTGTGTGTGTGTGTTGTGTGGGTGGTGTGTGTGTGGGTGTGTGTGTGTTGTGTGTGTGTGTGTGTGTGTGTGCTTTCCAGGGGTATATCTCTGGGCGGTGGGGGTGGGGGGGGGGTAGGGGGGTTGGTGGGTTAGGTGGCGGTGAGGTGGATAGGGGTTGAAGGTGGAAGGATAGGTCATGTAGTAAGGCTGGCGGATAGTGAGGTTGGTGGCTCATTAGGTGGAGTGGACAGTTGAGATTCTCGTCCAATTTTACAATGTTGCTGAGGACAATATATATATATATATATATATATTATATATATATATATATATATATATATATATATATATATATATATATATACGTATATATATATACGTATATATATATACGGATTGAACGCCGACCTGCATGAAGCGAAACCGTCGCTCTACCGTCCAGCCCAAGTAGTTGCGCTTAGTTAAAGTTGTTTCAAGTTAGGTTAAGTTTAAGTTTCCATATATATCTTTTGTCGTGCCTAGTCTTGACACCATCCTTGGAGTTATCTTTGACTATCTCCTCTTGTGACACAATTCACTAATTCACTTTTCATTCATTGAATCGCTTCCTTTACATCCGTATGACTCGTCTGAGACTTCATAGTCTCCACCAATGACCTTTCGTCCTGATCCTGTTAAAACATTTCGAATTTATTTATTTTGTAAATGCGTCTAACAATGTTATATGTCATGATCATGTCTCCTCCTTCACACACACACACACACACACCGTCAACACATGTTAAACCACGACGCAATATATAATTGGCCACAAAGTCTTCCCGGCTCGACGCCTTAATCTGATGATAATTATTTGCTTACATCGTATAATTATTATAATAAAATGACAGCAATCTCCAGACGGTTTTATCTGCTTTTAAAGTCGAAATTAAAATACCAGAATCGTATAATTCTAATGCAATTATTCTGTAATTATAGGTGATTATATTAATGCTCTCATGACCTTGTTATGTGTCGTTACCTTTGTTAGTGTGGCTTAATGCCTTCCCTTGGTGGTGTACTCGTCTAGTTGTGCTTGCGGGGGTTGAGTCTCGGCTCTTTAGTCCCGCCTCTCAATTGTCAATCCACCGGTGTACGGATTCCTGAACCTATTAGGCTATATCATATCTCTATTTGAAACTGTGTATGGAGTCAGCCTCCACCACATCACTTCCTAGTGTATTCTGTTAACTACTCTGACACTGAAAACAAGTTCTTTCTCAAATCTTTGTGGCTCATCTGGGTATCCAGTTTCCACCTGTGTCCCCTGGTGCGTGTGTCCCATGTGTTAAATAGATTATGTCTTTAATGTACCCTATCAATTCCTCTGAGAATTTTGTATGTGGTAATCATGTCTCCCCCAACGTAGTCTCACGCCTCATCGTGAGTGTTTGTCTCACCTCAAGTGTTCTGTGTTATGAATATTAATAATGAAGAGCGTCGGGAACATCCTGAACTGAATGTATTCACCTGAGCTCTGGCTCTTTGGTCCCGCCTCTCAACTGTCAATCAACTGGTGTACAGGTTCCTGAGCCTATTGGGCTCTATCATATCTACACTTGAAACTGTGTATGGAGTCAGCCTCCACCACATCACTACTTAATGCATTCTATCTGTTAACTACTCTGACACTGAAAAAATTCTTTCTAATGTCTCTGTGGCTCATTTAGGTACTCAGTTTCCACCTGTGTCCCCTTGTTCGTGTTCCACCCGTGTTAAAGAGTTTTTCGTTGTCCACCCTGTCAATTCCCCTGAGAATTTTGTAGGTGGTTATCATGTCTCCCCCTTACTCTTCTGTTTTCCAGGGACGTCAGGTTCAGCTCCTTTAGCTTTTCCTCGTAACTCATACCTCTCAGTTCCGGGACGAGTCTGGTGGCATACCAGACGACACACAATGTCTGGTGTGGATCAACACCGATTGAGTTATTCATTAGGAAAAACATGCATATTTTCTAGAAAGATGTCCTGCAGACAAAGTTTTGTCTGCAGGCAGCCGTGATCAAGAGACGCTAAGACATTATCACTTGTTCAGCAGGTGATCTGCCTTGACAGGTGACCTTCCTTGACAGGTGACCTGCCTTGGCAGGTGACGTAACGTGACACGTGCGATACCCAGCTAACCTGGCTATCGTCTGCTGGCTTAATTGGGCATCGTTGGGTTAAACTGGGCATAAGCTCACGTGAACTCAACAGCTTGCAAAACATAGTTCTGTTCTCCTGTGTCTCAAGAATAAGGCTAAGGAAAAGGAGGAGGATTGGGAGAGTGGAAGGGAGAAGGAGAGGAAAGGAGGAGGGTAGAGAGAGAGAGAGAGAGAGAGAGAGAGAGAGAGAGAGAGGAGAGAGAGAGAGAGAGAGAGAGAGAGAGAGAGAGAGAGAGAGAGAGAGAGAGAGAGAGAGAGAGAGAGAGAGAGAGAGAGAGAGAGAGAGAGAGAGAGGAAGGGGGTGTGATAATATTGGTGGATTGTGTCTGTGGTGATGATCAGGGGGGAACACGGCCCGTCGGAGCGCACATAATGTCATCACTCCTAAATTGGCTGGACGTGACTCTCTCTCCCGCCCACAAATTCCCTCCCCCAACCACCCCTCACACCCCCGCCCACACCCGCCCACACCCGCCGGAGGCGCCACAAGGAACCCTCAGCGACACCACCACTGTAAGACGTCTTTCGAAGAACGACTAGACGACCTGAGGGGAACTACCGCCAGCCGCCGCCGCTCATCCAAAACACCGAAGTCTCCCAGCAGCAGTTTAATAATCTCTGAGGAAACTTATAAACATATAATCAAGGAAACAGGGGAAGGCCTATCGGCCTTCCACGTTCATATATTGACCAACTAAGTAGTCGTGGTATTCAGTATTCAAAGTATTCAGTAGTTGTGGTGCTGTTTAACAAAGAATTAGTGTCCGTTGGTTAATGGCATTTTAGCGAAATCTTTGTCTTAATTGCTAGCAGTAACATCTTAAACACTCCCTTGGGATGATTCCTGGTATCAACGTGCCCGCGGCCCTGTCTTTGACCAGGTCTCCTAGTTGGTATATGTCTGGTCAACTAGGCTGTTAAACGCACCTGCTCGCAACCAAACGTATAAATCACAACCTGGTTGGTCAGGTATGCTTTAGAGGTGTTTATCAAGTTTCCTTTTTGAACGTTGTGAGAGGTCAGATAGTTACGTATTGAGGGAGAGTGTTGACAAGTCTTGGGCACCTTAGTGTTGACAGAACTGTCTCTTGGCGTGCCTATTACACCTTTGCTTTTCAAAGGAGCTATTCTGCACGTTCCATCCAATTCATATCTGCAGGGCGATTATTAAATGGCGAACAATTTTCCTTGTGAAATTGACCTATCTCTATCGTGCAATTATTTAATCAATTACTGATGCTTTGACTCATAATTCCATAATCAATAATTGAGCATGACAATGGGCTGCCCCATTAGTTCAACGCTTACTATTACCATGAGGGAGAGAATTTTCAGGGGAAATCGCCAACCCATTACGACTATATAGCACTTGGAAGGGGTCAGGATAAGTATTTGGGATCGGGGGAAGGAATTGTGCCCTATCACTTGGGCGGTCGGGGATTGAACGCCGACCTGCACGTCGTGGAGGCTTCTCAGCATCCCCGACATCATCACCATTCTCCAAAATCGTCGCCAACGCCGTCCAATACCGCCATTGAGTTGATCATATAATCAGCAGATAAGCCAATTCAACGCAAGTGATTACTTTAGAACTGTGATCACTTGGACTGGACGGTAGAGCGACGGTTTCACTTCATGCAGGTCGGCGTTCAATTCGTTGTACTTCGTTCAATTCAATTCGTTGTAGACGCCGTTGAACGTCGTTCAACGGCGTTTTCGTTATAGCATATATGCTACAACGAACTCCACCAGGGGCCTACAACAACAACGCCACCATACACAACCTGTATCACCCATACCTGTATCACCCATACCTGTATCACCCACACCTGTACCACCCACACCTGTATCACCCATACCTGTATCACCCACATCTGTATCACCCACACCTATATCACCCACACCTGTATCACCCACACCTGTATTACCCACATCTGTATCACCCACACCTATATCACCCACACCTGTACCACCCACACCTGTATCACCCATACCTGTATCACCCACATCTGTATCACCCACACCTATATCACCCACACCTGTATCACCCACACCTGTATTACCCACATCTGTATCACCCACACCTATATTACCCACACCTATATCACCCACACCTATATCACCCACACCTGTATCACCCACACCTGTATCACCCACACCTGCATCACCCACACCTGCATCACCCACACCTGCATCACCCACACCTGTATCACCCACACCTGCATCACCCACACCTATATCACCCACACCTGTATCACCCACACCTATATCACCTACACCTATATCACCCACACCTGTATCACCCACACCTATATCACCCACACCTGTATCACCCACACCTATATCACCCACACCTATATCTCCCACACCTGCATCACCCACACCTGTATCACCCACACCTGCATCACCCACACCTCCATCACCCACACCTGCATCACCCACACCTGCATCACCCACACACATCAGCCAGTCACAACACTTTGTAAACATCTTGGATGCTAAAAGCAACATCAAAGAAGATAACAACCCTACGAGACGATGTAGAGTCTCTACTGAACACCGAACACAACGACGGAACATCCGACATGTCTCATCTTCGCGTCACATCAACCCCCATCATCCTTTTTTTGCCACAAGTACCACTATTCCTACCACTATCCCAACCCTCAGCACCATCATCACAACTACTAACATGACCAACATCACTACTAACTCAACTACCACTATCACCACCACCACCACCAGGACCTCTACTGCATATCAAGAAATAATTCTATACTCAACCCTGGGGAGGAATAGAGAGTAGAGTTGATGCTCTCTATCGCTCACTAGTGTCACCCTCGTCCTCGTCCTCGTCCTCGTCCTCGTCCTCGTCCTCCTCCTCGGTCAATGACTCGTCTCTTCTGATTTATTGTCTCGGGTTAATGAAGCACCAGAGCCCATGCTCAAAAACCCAACCGCTCTCATTTCCCGTGTAAGAGTAAGCCCGGGCTCTTATCAGCTGACTGGGGGAGGTGGGGGGGAGGAGGGGGGAGAGGGAGAGAGAGAGAGGAGAGGAGAGAGAGAGAGAGAGAGAGAGAGAGAGAGAGAGAGAGAGAGAGAGAGAGAGAGAGAGAGAGAGAGAGAGAGAGAGAGAGAGAGAGAGAGAGAGAGAGAGAGATGGTGACTTTACAGATAACTGAAATTAGCAGTGAGATAGACAGAAAAGCAGTCAAGCAGTTGCCTTGACACAAACTTCTTCCTTTTAAAAGTGCCTCTCTCATCCCCTGTCTTTTTCTGTCTGTCCGTCAGACTCCTCTCTCTGTCTCTCTCTCCCTCCTCGCGACAAAGAGCGACACCTAGAGAGAGATGCACAGACATGCTCCTACACCCACTATATGTTTCCGGTCGGAGATGAGGCCAGAAATCTAATAAAAAATGTATATTTTAGTTCTATGTCAACTTTCCCCTTGCTGTGGTATTTTGATCCTTGCAAGGAGTTCGTCCTTTGTTTTCCCTACTCCTCCTAGTATTACCATGACCCACCACTATCTATCACCACCATCACCATCTATCACCACCATCACCATCTACCACCACCACCTTTTCCTCGCTACCACCAGCATCACCATCTACCACCACCTGTTCCTGGCCAGTTGCCGTACCCTGGGCCATCATGCCTGGGGCCTTGACCAGAGACCAGCTGGCTGGGCCATCTGTCAGAAGACAAGTGACTAGCGGTGGACCAAGATTTCCCATGGAGGAGCCTGCCGGAGGATTTATGAAGGGGACAGACCAATCACATCCTTCGCCCTTCCTCTGACTAGTCCCCCCCCCACCCCCAGGAGCCCTGTATACGGTTTCCACGTCCATCGGGTCGTTCAAGAGCAGCCATTCCTGAAGACGTTTCGGTGGGTCGTTGAAGAACATCAAGTTGTTACAACATCAACTGTTACCTAGCAGTAAAATAGGTACCTGGGTGTTAGTCAGCTGTCACGGGCTGCTTCCTGGGGGTGGAGGCCTGGTCGAGGACCGGACCGCGGGGACACTGAAAAGCCCCGAAATCATCTCAAGATAACTCCTCAAGTCGTTTCAGGGGGGATCAGTCAAGCGAATCCATTTCTGGGGTCATTTTTAGAGAGTTTCATAATCAGCTGTCTATTTCGCTGTTTCAGGGAAGGGGGGGGAGGGGGTTACTCGACGAAACGACACGTTACCAAGTTAAAGACGTGCAGTAGAAACAAGTTTATTTTAAAAATAAAATATCGGTTGCTTGAAAGCAATGATAAGTGTTTCAGGTTGTAGTTTTACACACACGAAGTGTTAGGAACTATAGTCATTAATCTTGACTCTACGTAACTATGCATAGTTTAGCATAATCGCGAAATCATGGGAAGAGATCCACCTGGGCTTTTCGCTACGATTAGAGAGTGTTCCAAAGTGGTCCAATTTGGAACACCTCAAGTCATCCATCATCCATCCGTCTCTTATCAACCCTATCGTAAGGCATTATATTTCTCTCTCCCGCCAGCAACAAAGTCTAAATACAATGAAAGCACTTACAATACACTTACAATGAACGTCAACACAACACAACACACACACACACACACACACACACACACACACACACACACACACACACACACACACACACACACACGCACACGCACACACACTGGCAATCCTCACTACGGCTGGCCTCGGCCAGTAACTAATTCATTTTGGCCACTTTGCTAATCTTGTAATTCGTTCGAGTGAAAACCGAGTCGACTTGAACTTTGTGTCTGAGGCTGGCCTCTGACAGACTAAACACTGTCTCATCGGGAATAATGAATAGCCAGGAAGGTCATTAAGGAATTTACAGTCTCTGCTGCTTATTGTTAAATGCCAACTGCCCCGTTACACCAGGGCGCGACTCGAGACATTCAACGCCCAATCACTTGGGCTGGACGGTAGAGGGACGGTCTCGCTTCATGCAGGTCGGCGTTCAATCCCCCGACCGTCCAAGTGGTTGGACACCATTCCTTCCCTCTCCGTCCCATCCCAAATCCTTATCCTGACCTTCTTCCCAGTGCTATATAGTCGTCATGGCTTGGCGCTTTTTCCTTTCATAACTCCCTCTCTCGAGACATTGAAAGCCTTCATCCTGTTACGTCCACTGTCTGCTGTCTAACAGTCAGACAGTGGACGTCTATCCATATCCCTAACCCTGTCCATGCCCCTCTTCCTGGGGCTTCTGTCCCCCTGTCTTCACCTCTTCCTGGGGCTTGGTGAGTGAGATAGTATGGTCAGTCTTCCCCTAGGAATCCCACAGCTTTTCTTGAGATTAAACTGACCTATACCGACCTTCGGAGCATAGGTCAGTGAATGCTCCGATCTTCAACACAGTGGCAGTGTGAATGACCCCAATCACCGAAGATTCGAATGACCCCAATCACCGAAGACTCCATTTAGAGACCTCTCACTCCGCAAGGAGAACAACAGCGACCTCCCAATCAACGTGGAAAGGTCAAAAGGGCATTTTCGACTGTTTGTTCCACTCGATGTGTGTTTTTCCCAGCGAGCGCTGCGATTGGCTACGTCGTAACTCACCCCTCGGGGTCCTCCCTAGTGTCAGAAAGGCCCGCTAGGGGGCGCTTACCCCTAGGGGTGGGGGGGGCCTCACACTTAATGCTCGTCTTGTTGCAGGTTTTCGACAGCAGGGGGCCAAATTTAGGTTCTTTTTTGTGGGACTTGAGTGGCTTAATTTGTACGCATTTTGGGACTATAGTGCGTATACGGGTGGGGGGGGGGGGTGGTTCGATAGGTGAAAGGGTTTGTTTTTAGGGTCGTTCGCTTGTGGTTAGTGGAAACTTACTTCAAATTAGACGCTTGTTAAGGAATCAGAACAATCAGCTGGGGGTATGCTAGACCGTGACGTCACGTTTTCTTAGAGACAATGAAGACGAGATTGGTTTCTCTCTTTCTAAATCTCTTTTCTCTCTTAATATCTCGCTATATCTCTTATATCTTCTTCCTCTTTCTATCTCTATTCTACTATTTCTATTTTTTGTTCTCTCTCTCTCTTTCTGTGTGTCTGTGTTTTCCATTATTGCAACCAATAAGAGACCACCAAACATCCAAGCAGCCAGCCAATAAGAACCACGCAGAAGAACAAACAGCCAATGGAGCGGCGGAGGAACAAAAATCTCTCAACAGGCTCAACAAACCCACCAATGAGAAGTGAGATAACCGCGTATCAGCCTCCTTGGCAGATCTGAGAGATATTTATCTCAAGAGAGAGTTTACTGACCTCGAGGTGTATGCGAAGATGGTCCGGACTCTCAATACGCCGGCGGCTCTGTAATATCATAACCTCTAAACCTATTTGAAGACAATTGATTTTAAGAGTTTGTTATGAGTTGGTTGTGCGTGAGGGAGGGGGGGTTGAGGGGTGGGGCAGGGGGGGGTTGAGGGGTGGGGAAGGGGAAAAGGATTGCCGTAGGGGGAGGGGGGGGGGGGGGGGGGGGGGGGGGGGGGGGGGAGGGGGGGGGGTTGATGGCAAAGTAGAAGTAGAGGTGTTGAGGAGAAGTATTTATCTATCAGTTCTTGCCTATTTATCATCTACGGAAAGAATGGTTTATCTATTTCTATTGTGCTTTAGCTTACTGTATAGTCCTTGTTGTGTGTGTGTGTGTGTGTGTGTGTGTGTGTGTGTGTGTGTGTGTGTGTGTGTGTGTGTGTGTGTGTGTGTGTGTGTGTGTGTGTGTGTGTATGTGTGCCTTCCATCTTTTAAGTAATCACTCTGGAAGAATTCATTAGCTGAGCGTTAAGACGATACTAATTAGAGGAAAAGCACTGACCAATTAATCAAGAGACTGACATAAGGAGACTAGCCAGCTGGGAATCCTTACTACCACTAGCCCGCCGATAGTTATGACGTCACTAATAGGGGGAGTTGATATTATTCTAATTAGTAAATCGTTTCCCCACATTTCCTACTCCTTTCATCCTCTTCTCTTCCTCCTTCTTCCTCTTCACCCCTTTTTCTCCTCCCTCCCTTAATTATTCCCTTCTCCCTATTTCCTTTTCTCATGAAAGTCCCTCCTATTTAAAGTATCCTATCTCATTTCTTCATTCCTGTCCCTTCCTTCCCCCGTTCTGCCTTGTTTCCTGGTTCCCTCTTTCTCTTCAATTTTCATTTACATGTTCCTCTCTACTTCATGCCTCGAAGAAGCCGAATTCTCTAATTTAAAACCATTTCTTTGTTTCGTTCCTCACTGACTGATACACTCACTCCAACACTCATGACAAACAGTGTATATGTCTTGCTGTTGTTGTTGTTTTAGATTCAGCTACTGGGAACAAACAGTTCCAAGTAGCACGGGCTATGGTGAGCCCGTAGTGTATATGTCGAACCAAAACTAATTTAGCTGCCTCACCTAGCGTAGCCTCACCTCACCTGTGTCGCATCAATGAAGCCAAAACTGATATTAATTAATTAAGCATTCATTCATATATATATATGTTTAAATCGTGAGAAAAACCAGATACGGTAAATAGGAGAACAGAGGACAGGAGGAAATAGGAAAGGATAGAAGGAAGGGGGAGAAGAGCAGGAGCAAA